CCCCCCCCCCGAGCCGGAGCCAGAGGTCGTCATGTCGTAGATGAGATCCTTCAGCGTCTTCCCCGAGTTCACCAGGTTGCACTCGGAGAGGGGCTCCTCCACATTGGGCTGCTTCGCCCTGCCGCGGGCACAGCGCCGGCCCGGGCAGGCACACGCCGCCAGCACCGCTGCCAGGGAGAGGACACAGACCGGCACCACCACCGCCAGCACCACGGGTCCCGCGCCGGCTCTGCCAGGCGACTCCGATGCTTTTGGGAGACACAAGGGAGGGTGGGATGGAGGGAAAAAGATGGTAAGTGACAGGCTGTGGAGTGACATACAAAGATTTAATGATTTCCCAGAGTCCTGACCGGGACTGGCAGCAGCGAGACAGACCCTGTTTCTGGACGTTACGGAGTCTTCCCCACCACCACCTTTTTTGCAGTCCCTTGGGCTCAGGGCAGCACTGTGACCACTGCTGAACACCTCCATCTCAGACAGATCGCCCCACCAGCAGCTCCTCAAGGAAACACCAGTGGTTTTTTGGCGGCAGCACGGCTCAGGAACAGCCCCAGGAGAGCTCCTCAGTCACGCTGACACTCCACCCCTCCAGATCCCATCTGGTTGTATCTCTACTTATCTGTTACTACACCAACAGACCTCTCACAGCACAACACGTCCTGGCCACCAGCTTCTCTGACTGTCCCACTCCAGCCGCCAGCTTCTCCAGCTGTCCCACCCCACCTCTCTGTATCATCCACGACAACAAACACCTGAAGAACATCTCCTCGCAACTGTAGTTCCAAGAACCACAGCAGGACCCAACAGAGCACGCACAGTTTTGCTCTGTTGGCGTTGGCAAACTGCTGTTTGAGCTGACCCCCCACCTCCCCGCTGCCGAAGCTCAGAGACAGGAGCGGCGCGCTCCCTGCGGGACCCCGCGGCAGGGCAGCCCGGAGCACAGGGGCAGCCCAGATGGAACATGGGGCAGCCTGGAGCGCGGGGCCATGCCAGGACACCTGCCGTCCTGGCAGCCCAACCTGCGCTCCGCACGCAGACCATCTGCACTGAGCAAGAGATGCCTTGCCGGCTGTGCAACTGGTGAGCACTGCATCCATCCCACAAAGTTTGTGTATAAATTTCTCAGCACACTGTCCCTGCTGGAAACAAATCCTTGGAAAAAACGATTTCCTAACACTTAACATATACGGGAAAACAAAGTTCTAGTAAATGAGGCTTTAAAACGATTTCTAAGACAGAATGCTTTCAGAACTTGTGTTCATGAAACCATTTCACGAGGGTCAAGAAACGGGACTGTCCTAGATCATTTTCCTTTTTAAAACTGCAGGGGTAAAAAAAAATACCAAGAAGCTATAGGAACACATTATCAAGGTATTTATGTGCACACGTACACACACAAATCCCCTAGTGCCCCCAAAATCGTAAATAAGCAAAAACCAACCAACCAAAAAAAAATCCACAAACCAATCAACCAGCACAACTCCCCAAAAATAAAAGAAAACAGAAACACGACCCAAAAAAACCCCTCACTGCTCAGGATCACACGTACCAAACAACAGATCTAAAGGCAACAGAAGATGTAAGAATCATGAACTCCACCCCGCAACGCCCACCCGGAGCCGTCGGAGAAATGAGAAAGCCCCTCTGTCCCTCCGGGCAAACGCTGAGCAACGCGTACGTGGTACGCTGGGTTCTGAGAGCAGCCTGGCTCCCAGCATTGCCCGTTCCTCTCCTCCAGTTCATGTGACAACAGAACCATTTCTTCCCCAAAGGACCTTGTCAAGCCACGCACTGCAGCATTCCCAAGTGCCAGGAGCAAAGCTGGCCGGGCAAAGTTAACTTGTTCCTTTTTCTTCTCTTCTTTACGTTTTAGCACTATGCACTGTAACTAAGAGAGAAAAGAAAATAAAACATTAACAACAGAAGGTCTCACGTCTACTTGCAGCACAATTCAAACTGGTCTGAAAACAGAGTTGTTACGTCTTGCCCACAGGCTTTTCCTTTCATAGACTTGGACAGGACACTCCGAGGACTATCTGGTAGGTTTGTAAGAGGATTGATGAGCAGAATTCCTCCTTACAAGGGCTGCTTGCTAACCGATCCACTGTGATTTCCCAAGCTGATTTAAATCCATGCCCACATGGCAGAGGTTTTCCCTGGAGCAGGTGTGACGCGTGGTCTGTACGCACCCTCTATCACACGAGCTTCGGTGCTGCCGGCGGGTGCGGCGCCCAGCAGAGCTGCTGCCACCACACGGCATGGCACGGTGAGCGGCACCGCGCACGGCACGTGCTGAAGGCTGCGGAGGAGGACTGCACGCTGCGCAGCGGGGTACGGAGCTGGAACAACGTGTCGGGGTGAGGAGCTGCCGCCTGGGTGTTCAAACACAGCACTTCCAGCACACTGCCCAAACCATGTCCTCGCCCGCGGACCTACGTGGATTCCTTGTCTATCGGCAGGGGCTGTTGAAGACGAAGGTGCACATGATACTTGCTATAAAACATCAGTTCTTTCCACCAACTGCTGAAATACAACATAACATGAAACGAACAAAACTGGAAACTTTGTTGTTCTTCAGCCAGTGCAAACAGCATCAGAAGGAAAATGTTCAGGAAGCTCTGAACAGCAAAAACCGAACCAGTGGGAGAGGAGATGCAGAAGGGCGTCTGCGCAGACGGGCACACAGCCTCTGCGCCCTGAGCCGGAGCGGCGGTTTTCCCTGCTGCAAGCAGCAGCGACACATCGTGCTCCTGGGAGGTATTTGCTCCCAGCAGCACCTGATCCTGAGGCCCTGCAGAGCCCGTGGGTGCTTCACATGCTGAACATCAACGGGCAGAGAGTAGTGCTGCTGGTGGGATGCCCTTCGCCTGCGTCTCCCGCTCATGCCTGAGCCTCGCTGCGTGCCCACACCATCTTCTGCTGGAGAGTCCTTTCACTTCACCACCACGCGGTCCGCAGCCAGGTCACAGCCGTCCCTTCTCGCAGCGTACCCTCACTGCTGTCCTGCATCCCCCTCCCCGTCCTTCCTCCTCTTCCCTCTTTTTTCACAGGTCCCTCCATTCCAAAGCATCAGTCTTTCCAGAAGCAAACTGGTTAAAAATCTCCACTTCTGCTCTCTTTTTCAGTACTTTCAAGTCTGTTTCCTTGTAGTCTGGATGTTACAGGTGGCAAACCTGTACAGGCAAAAAAAAGAGTAACAGTTACTGTTGGCTTTCTTCTTATCCTAAAATTACGCACGTACCTATGTCTATGCATAAAACTTCCAGGGCTTTTTCACCTGCTTTTGAAGGGTTTTAATATTAAAGCCATATTACTGTACGGGCTATGCCTACACTGCCTTGTCATACGCTCTGCAAACCCAGGCTCGGTTCCGAGATTTGCCGACAGAATTAAGTGAGGCAGCAACGCGGTTTAGACGTCTGGGACATGACAATTTGTAACTTGCAGCACACTGTTTGTACGTTGCAAACCAGTGAAACAGGTTTTATAGCAGAATTTTAAGGGGCTCATAAAAAATCCTCAGTATATCTTTAAAAAAAAAAAAAGCAGCAAAACCATTTTCATCAGAAAAAATGTCGTGAATTTTAACAGAAAAGTGATCTGACACGTTTTCACTGAAGATGCACGAGCACAGTTCGTATCATTAAAGCACTGCGGTGCAGGCTTTGTGAGAGAACTGCACCAGAACTTCATTTTTAGAGCTATCTCCCTCCCACATGGCGTTTGGGGAGCCAGGCAAGCAGCGGGGCGGGCAGGAGAAGCAGCAGGTGTAGCGGGGACACAGTGAGCACGGCAGGCCAGCAAGATCGTTTTGCCACTCTGAGGAATGGAGCAGGAGAAACCTCGGCTGGCGCAGGAGGAGGGAGGAGGGAGCACAGAGACACAGACACTCACGGCCATTCCGGGGCTGCAGAGCGAGAGGTCAGGGCACAGCAGCAGCAAAACTGGAAGAGTTCTCACATCCACTCAGGAGGGTGACATTTGGCATCAGGAATACAGACAGACACCAGCTTAAGGACTTAGGCAGTGACAGTTGCTCAGAATAAAATCAGGTTCAGTGATGCTTACAGGTCTCCTCCAAGATGCTGCTAAGTCGAGAGAGCTCAAGTGCAGAAGGCAAATTAGCAGTGAGATTGGAAGCTGAGGTGTCCAGGCCAGTTTGCACGTGGTCTCCACTGAGTTCCTGGGAAACGAAGGGATCCTGACTGTCTGGAGAAGATTCTTGGAAGGAGTCAACCAGAAACCTCCTCTGTCATCCTTTAGTCTACTGGCTGTACCAAAGACAAAGTGCGGATCACGGCTGGTGGCAGCTACTCCAACCCTCTCCAGTTCTTCATACAGCACACGTGGGGGACTTGGGAAGTACCAGCGCTGCGGCTCCTGCTTTGCAGTTGGTCATAGACCATCTTCAGTCCCGACCCCTTGCAGCACAGTGTCCTGCAGCCAGCACCACAGCCGTGCCCGTTTCTGGGCTTGCAGATCATGACCCCATGGGGATCCCTGGGGCTTCTCACAGCACAAACCACGAACAGGAGGAGTGACAAACGGCACAAGAGCAAAATACACAACACACAGGATACAACAGTGATTAAAGGCAACATCACCAGATAAGTGTGGTAATGTTTACAGCAGTTGTGCAATGTTAAACTCTCTGTGAAACAAGAAAAATCCCTCATGACTACCTAAAACCATCAAATCAACACCATTAATCATAACATTTTGCAATCTGATTTCAAATGTACCATTCAATGACTTACTAACCAACAATAGAAGCTGAAGACATGTTGGCATGTATGAAACAAAAATAGCACATCTGGCAATATTTAGCAATTTCACAATATGGTGTCATTATATTCCAAGTTGTGTAAACAAGAGCAATTTTAGACTACAAAAAAAAAAGGAAATATTTTTTTCCCCTCCAATGGAACGAGTACACAATTTGTACTCAAGTTAAGTTTCTCCAGCTTTCACTCTGACTACAGACCCCATCATCCCTTTCAGGACATCAGAAATCATCTGGAAAAGGTCTGCTTAAAGATCCAGAAGTTCAAGCAAATCCATCAGGGATACAGCTACAAGATAAACAGACGCATTCTATTTTCCCCCTCCCCTGTCCGCAGCCCTGCCTTCTCTTCGCATGGCAGTACTGTTACCAATCCCTCCAGAGAACACGAACCTGGGATGGCCAAGATGGAGAAAAGCATGTGAAATATTTGCAGGATGAGACATCCCCAGAGCAGCTGTGACAGGCTGGAGCTCTGCCCACAGGGGTTTTGTGGGGGAGAACCTCAGGAGATGGGTCCAATGGGGGAATTATCCCAGGAACCACACCAGTGGTGCGGCACTGAGCTGCACTGACATGAAGAGGAAAGAGGTTGAGTGCATCTCATGGAGCTACTTCAGTCTCTGAGCAGCTCTGCACCACTGCAGCCCAAGCTGGCAGCCCACGTCCTGGGTCACGGACAGCTCACCTCCCGGCCGCGTGCCGCGAGGGAGCACAGCGAGTCCCGGCCATGCGGACCCCAGTCTTGCCCGCGCTCAGCAGTGGGAACAGAAACCTGCACAAACCAGTGAGATAATGGACTAATGACTAATCCTGGAACGGCCTCCATGTTCCATCGGACCAGCCGACGGCTCCAGGGCTGGCCACCCGCTACGGTGCCTCTGCCTTGTGCTGCTTGCCCTCAGCCAGAGACGAACCCAAGATCCAGATCTGGATTTTGGAGCGCCACGTAAGACTGGAAGTGAAAGAAGAAAAAAGGCAAGCTGAGCAAGGAGATGCCTAAAAACTTGCTTTGGAAACCGCGATTTCCCAAGCACAGGGATGCACCTACAAAGGCAGCTGAGGCAACGGCACCCAAACGGGTGCCCAAACATTCCCCCAAATGTTTAGAGCAAAGGGCTCAGGCTAAAAATTAAGTAATTTTCTCTGGTACTGAAACACGAAACCAGAGGTTTTGCAACTACCAGTTCAAGCACCAGTACGACAGATATGCCTCCACCGCTCCTCTACAAAGAGCGGTTTTCTCCCAAGATTCCAGCATCCCAACTTGAAAAGAAAAAAAAAAAAGGCATGGTATTGTATTTCTACGTTTCTAGAGCATGACTGCCATCAGTATCTCCCTTCTATTGCCAACAAAAAGAAAAATACTTAAATAATCCTTATTCCTGCCCCACATAACAGGTGAGATCAGGTATCGGGGTTCAGACCTCCCAGCTGTCAGGATTCTACCTAGGCTGGCTCCTCTGGAGAGGCTGCTGGGAACAGACTTTCCTCCAGCAGCATCCAGCATCCCCCTGTCCACACCAGGAGACGACGGTCACCAAGGTGACCGCAGCACATCCCCCGTGGTCTAGCCCCCTCCATCTTATATGACATAGCAAGTGCTCCCAGTTACAGCCTTTTAAATTCCATTAAGGACTATACAACAGCAGCTTAAGTGCAAGTTATCATTGTAAATTATGTATTAATCTGCATCTTTCTTACCTGTAACATCTGTCACCAGTATCAGTACATAAAAGGTATCATCTGATTAAGTAGTGCATTTTACAGCTTTTTCAGAAAAAGCCTGGATTAAACACAAATCTTGGAAAGAAGGGCCAAATAATTAAAAATAGTATAAATATTTAATTTTAACAAGCACTGAATCAACTTCATTACGCAATTTTGAGTTTGGCAGGCTCAAGTTCTGCCCCAGCTGTGCAATACACAGAGCTCCTGGAAGTGCAAATCTTTCTCCCCCCTGTAATTGGGACCAGGAATCTCACACCTTCTCAGCCGGGCTGGACAAGAATCAATGATACCGATCTGACACCTGCGAAAAGCTGCCTCACGAGCTGCTAAAACAAACTGCAGAACCCCAAAGTTCAAGGCAGACTAACGAGACTGCTGAAACAGCATCAGCCAAAGACATCACCCAGCAATGACTTGGTGTCCTTCACCCCTCACCCCCCAGCAGGAGACCCTACGTGCCATATGACCCATATCCACAGAGAGGACACATCTGCCCTCCTGACCACAACGGAGCCACTGCAAACCCCTTGCTGGTGCCAACAAACTGCGGCAATTGCTCATCAATCCAGATCACAAAGACATGGCACTTGGTGACACAGACTCCCAACACAAAATGAGGGGATCAGCTCCTCATGTGCCAGGGAGCGCCCCGTCATGGGTCACACCTCATCGCCAACCCAGACACTTGTCTGTCCGAAAACACGGGGTGGTGTTTCCCAAATACAATTCAGAGTCAGCACCTACATCTAACCACTTTCTTTCCAAACCTCTCTAGTCTGAACTCCTACCCGAGCCATCTAAAGCAGGTCTGTTTAACTGTGTGCAGAGATGTTTGTAAAACTTCCGTAAAACTTCAGAGAGTGCAAGGTCTTTGTTGTTTCCTTGGGATGCACCAGTTAACAGCTCTCAGCTTCTCACAATTCCTAATTCACAGCTGCTACACATTGCTCATCCATGCCCCATGGAAAGTCCTCAGTACATCAGATACCACCTTCCTAACATCTAGACTAATGCCAATTCAAATCACAAACTCCCTGAAGATATTCCAGCCCATAAAACCTGTGCAGTTACAAGCCTGTTTCCTTCAGACACTTCCTTTTCATCTTCAAGGCTAATGCCTCATGGGATCTCGAAGACAGCATTTGGAGTACCTTTAGGAGATACAAGAAACTCACTTTTCCCCAAATAGAGCTGCAGTTTAGATGTTCCTGTCTGAAACAAGTCAGGAAAAAAATAGCTACGGTTTTACAGACAGCCTTTAGAATCCCCCCCAGCTGGCTCTCACGTCATGCCCTCCGCACGGTACTGCTGCGCTGCCCAGCTGCCACACCAGCCTTTGAACAGCACCTCACGCTCACACAGCGCTTACCCACAGGCAGGCGGAGGGTGATGTTGTTGCAGAAGTCGGTGTAGCAGCACTCGGTCTTGGTGATGTTCTTGGAACTGTGGCAGAAGACCTGCGCGTTCAGCTCCGGGAGGGAGACGCAGGACTTGACCACCTCCTCCCGCCCGTTGGTCAGCATGACCGAGGCCCAGCAGGCACCCTCCGTCTGGCAGGTGAAGTTGGTGTGCTCGCACAGCTGGCACACGCACTTGAGACCTGAAAAAGAGGTTTCCAGCTTTCACGAGAAGAACTTGGGAAGACAGACCCTCACAGCAACCATGCCAGGTGGTCTTGCCAGCCGGCCAAGGCTAGCCCCTTCACCACAAGCACCCCGTGCCAGAGCCATTCCCTATACCAGCGAACAGGCTCTTGGGCTGCAGGAGGAAGCCAGTCCCAGAAGGTCCCCAACACCCACAGACGACAAGCTTTTAAACCAGGTGGTCCTTAGTCACAGGAAAGAGTACAGCATCTATCTCGCGTGGCACAGAAGTCTGACCACCCCAAGAAGAAGTTTCCATGAAAGCTGCCTTTTGCCTGGGCGGGGAGACAGGTTCAAGTCCTCAGGTTTGTGTTCTCAGCTCCCACGGACTCGATCGCCACCTTCAGACAACGCTCAGGACAAACAGATGGGCACGTGCTCCATCTCGAGATGTCTATTTAGACACAGCTATGTTCATGACGTACTGAATTTCAAATAATATCAACAGCTGCCGTTTGGGCAGCTGTGCTGAATTCCCAAAACCTGGCCATCCCGCACCTGTGCCAGCCATTCCCCCCCACACTGGCAATCCACATGCTTTGCCAGAGCCAACTGGGTTAGAGCAACGAGTCTGTGGAATCGCCAAGATGCAAAGTCCCGGCACGCTCCACCCAACACCCTACGGACAGGGACGGGCAGTAACTCCTGGCTTTTCCTCCCATGTCTTCTGAGATGATGCACCTTTTTCAGGCACACAAACAGCTGCCCAGTTTCTTTTGGTGCAACTTTGTATGTTTTTAACCATATCTTCCGGTTTTACCAAATCTAGTAGAAACACATTTAGTAACTATTATATTTTTCAGGCTTTATTGACTCTTCCTTGGAAGAAGAGGAGGAAACCAAAGCCACATCATCTCAGTGAAACACCAGATGCCAACAATACGTTTTTTTTGCCTTCCTTGTTTTCTTCACCTGCTTCATAACAAACAATTTTTGCTTGATTCACGTCACGTTTAGCAGCCCACGTTAGCAGTGATGCAATAACCAAGACATCTTAACCTCAGGCTGAAAGCAATTTCTACAGGAAACACTTCCTTAACTGCACTTTATACGATTGTTTCTGTAAAAAAAACTTTATTTTAGAGTACAAAGACTTGATCTCTTCAACTTTTGACTCAAATAGTTCTTATCCCACCACAGGGTCCCCAAAATGCATTCTGTACACTTTCCCAGGTCAGTTATAACTCTGCAAGATTGAACGTTGCTCTACTTATGGAAGCCAGGGTATACAAAAAAAAAAAGCAAAAAGTAATTTTATCCATAAACCCATACTGTTCTTTGGGAATAAGGGAGAGTAGCTGTTTCTTTTACTTAAAGATAATAGACATCTAAAAAGTAAAATCATGAGATGACTAGGATGGCCACCAGGAAGAGAAGAGCCTTCTTCCCACCGCTAGCTACCCCGACAAGCCAGCGTGCTCCAATAGCTGCCGCATTTCTCTCTCCAGTGCCTTTCCTTGATCAATCCAGGACCCAAACCAACCATTTATCGTGCCCCACATCCGCAGCCGAGGAGGGAGCTGCAGTGACCGACGGCCGCGGCAGCACGCGCCACGTGGCAGGGGCAGCAGGGACTCATCTCAAACGGAGCCTCCGGAGGAGCGGAGAAGTCCTGACAGACGTCAGCGCGAATCTCATTTCTGTTTCTCTGACACTATTTGTTTTCTTTACAGCAATCTTCATCCTGTGCTACCCTTCTGATAGAACAGCTTGTAGTGTTTATCTCCAGCTCAGGCCCGCAACAAACTTCCCTGGCACCATATGTTCGTGTTTATCCTGGATGCAGGGCACGCTAGGAGCCACATCGCTGTCTGTCTGCTCCGGCTTTCTCTTGGTACGGCGAGCGAGCACAATCAATAACCCAGCAACAGAACAGGTGAATCTCTTCCTTAAAGACATTACCGTGGCCCTAGAAGAGATGCCAGGAGCAAGACTCATCAGATCCAAATAAATAAGAGATCCAGCAGAACACAACTAGACACATCATCACCAATACTGCAAAATAAAAGCATTACTTGAGGAAATGAATATAAGACTGTCTCAAGTGTCTTCAATGTTTCAGACACGTCATTGTGGTGTCTTTCTCCCCCTTCTCATGGCCTAAAAATAAAGCGGGAAATGGTCTTTACGACGTCATCTGCAGTAGATAACTGACAGTTCTATCCATATCCTGGTATTTTGCAGATTGCTTGAGAGAGGAGCTGATCAAAACTGTCACTGCAAGTCCTGACCAGCAACAAGGATACTCCTCCGAGCACCGCAGACACAGGCTGAGAAAAGGGTGGCTAAGGGGCTCTGTGACCTCCCTTTGACCAAGCTCAGACAGTCACTT